CACTCTTTCCACACTCTCAATTAGACATTCTCAATACTTTTTTTTTAATCTTTTATCCTTTGAAAGTACACTTTTGTCATTCACACACTATCCTTGCAACTAGCCTATTTTATGTTTCAATTTTTATAACTGTTTCAATTCACACACTATCCTTGAAAGTACACTTTTTTAAATTTTTATAACAGTTTATGATTTTTTTATAAATACATGTTTAGCTTTATATTAAAAACTAAGTGCGTGTTTGATAACATAGTGAGTTGAATTTGCTGATTTTTAAGCAATAAATAGTTATTTTTGTAGTGATTTTATCCTTAACATGAATTCCTACAATCCTATACTGTCAATCCAAACACACTGCAACATATATAATATGGGACACAGTTTACACGTAATTTGTCCCAATTGTTAAGAGTTTGATCCACAAGTCAATGTGTGAAATAACATTTATTTCTATAAATAAATAAAAAAGTAGTCCCATAAGTGAATATCAATATCTAATCAAGAAATTAATTACTAACTTTTTGGTCAAGAATATCCTAAGTTAAAAAAAAATACAAGAAATTGACCGTGTAAAGCAAAATAGAGTCTCATTTGATATGTCACATGTTCAAACTCATACTTTTCTCTTTAAAATGAGATAAAGGTAAGTTTTTTTTTTTTTTTTTTAAAGCATTCTTTAAGTCTAACATTGGAATGTTACACTGTTTCTTGATCTCACTACTCACTAAATTTTTATTCGTAAAAAGAAAAGTATTATTTTAAAGCTTCTATGTTTTTCTCTAATTTTGGTTTTAAAGCCATTAAATAAACTAGGTCATTAATGTGTTTGATATTCATAAATTTATAGGGATGCCAAAATTCTGTGCAAAGTCTTCACTTCACTAACACGTTTGTGTGAAAAGCTTCCTCTGTTAGTCATCATTAACACGTTCCAAACGTGCTTCCAGGTTGACTCATTTGGATTTGGATTTTAAGAAAAAATACAAAATATATTGGTCCCTCATTTTCATCTCCATATGAAGAATCTTCACTCGGTGAGAAAATGCCCACACAGTAATCAACCTTTCTTTTTCATTTAAACAAAAATCCAGTTCTACTTTTTTTTTTCCCTTTTAAGTAACAACTAAGTATTATAAATATTTATGTACTTTTTTTATTAAAAAAAAAAGCTTAATTTTTTTAAAATAGTTAATTCATAATGTAATATCAGAAAAGAATTCAATCCTTGATACTTGATAAGGACATGTTTAAATTT